TGTCTTTGGTGTATTGTTGACCTTCTGCAGGATCTTATCCTAATATTCATGCAACTTTTTGTTTTTATCTTATCAGTGTACACTTGTGCAAACCAAGTTTTGCTCTAGGACAATAAAAGGTGAGATGTGTTGATCCCATGCAAGATACAGCGTGATCTGTTAGTACTCAGTGAACGTATTGCGAATGCCTATCAGGTACTGCTGGATCAAACTGTAGTCCGATATCTGTACCCTAAACCTAACTGAATGAGATTTAGCCACGTTTGCGTTGGCTACGATTCAATGGGGCTGGTGGTGGCCATGTTGATTTGTGTTAACCCAAAATGTTAATCGGATGCAAACGTACAACCGATGACTTCTTTCTTCTGTTGACCTTCATGTCATCCCGTGGACCATGAGGCATTTTGCTAACAGACAAATAGGATTTTTTTCAAAGTTATTTTCTAAGTATTGAACAAAAATCTCATGTGATTAGTGCTTGGGCTGTGTGTTGGAAATGATTCTCAGCTGTTACCACACAAAACTGTGTCAGGAAGCCATCAGGTTGATTCCAAAAGTTGAGAAGGGATGCATGTACATCCAGTGATTACTTTCTGAAAATGATTTATTTAAAATCAGTTCATTGCTGAGATATTTTGCTAAGATACCTCTAAGTTCACCCCTATCAGAATGTACAATGCTTATTTTATCCATAACAGTTGTCCGAATGTGGATTTTTATACAGTAAGTGAATGGTAAGATTAGGAATATCTCTGAAAGTGGGTCCAACACATTTTATACAACTTCGAAATGCCTTTATCCTCTTTTCCTTCTGAAAACCTGCATGGCTGAGAAACAATGCAGCGAGTGCACAAAAGTATCCTAAACTATAACACATATGACAGCCACCAAGCTAACTACTCAGAAGAAAGTCCTGAGGATCAATTCTTGCTCACTTTCTGTGAGACTGTCGCTCCCATCTCCTCCAGTGGCTGTATGATCTCTATGGATTAGGATGCTTTATTCATGACCAAAGTGATACTCTATGTGTATGCATGGTGTGTGTGTGTGTGTGCGAGTGTGCGTTTGTGTGTGCGTGCTCTGGGCAGGCCACTAGAGTGTGACAGCAGGCCAGCACAGTGACAGGAGACACCTTGGAGACTGTGACAGGCTGCCAGCTGTACACCATCATTCGGATTTCTCTCTCACACTCACTTCTTCTCTGTGAGCTATTCATCTACTTCTACATACACCACTCCATTCCCTCTCCTCCATCTGTATTCACTCCATTCATATTGTACTTGTCTTTTTGTTTTTCCCTTTTCCACCGCTCTACCCTACACTTTCTCAGCGACAGTGCGAAGGATTTAAATAATTTAACATTCCTCACACATTTTTCTGTCTTTTATTCTATGTCTGTCAATAGAGTCTGAGCTTTTTCTATACTTTTTCCTTTTGCTGCGGTTTCACTCTGTATTTTGTGTCTGTTGTGACGTCAGGTGCCCCTTCTCTGACCCATATGGTCTTTGGCTCAGCAGGCACTGATCTCTAAATCCCATCTTCTCTTCTCTACTCTTCTGATCGCTCCATCCCGCCATCCAAAGACCTCTTGAACCCTCAAGGGAGGGAATTATTTATGTCAGATGAGAACAGAGCCGGGCTCTGCTGGGGTATCCCGACCTCACATGCACCTACTCATATGGGCACCCATATCCATATACCACCTATGGCGTAACGCCATGACAACGATAAAGCCCCTCTTCGATGTGCAGCAGCTGAGTGTGATTCTGCTCATATCATCTGAGTACAATGAAATTGTTTGTGCAACATCCAGCTATGTACAAGTTGGTGATAACTACGTTTTCTGCACCATAAACGGGTTTTGAAAAATCAAAGACATCGTCTGGATTGGCACAAACACTAGAAGTTTCTACATCCATCATGAGCCATAGGATTACCATTCTGGCTGAAACACACAGGGGCCTTTGGAGGAAGTCCTGCACATATGTACCACATTAGGTTTGTACACTAAAACCTGAAGCTTCTCAGCAAGTACTGGCATCCATAGCTAAACACCAAACAACAGGATGAAATATTGGAAAATGGTCAAAAGTAAAAACAAGGGGAGGCAGAAATTTCTTACCAACACATTTAACTGTAAGTTGTTTAGTTCATTTAATGCAAACATATAATGAACTCCTAAAGTCCTGACAAGTTAATTTGATACAGTGAATTAATGTTTTGGGTAAATAGGCAAAAACCACACAAACCAAAAATGGCATCCACTAAAATCTAATTAGTATGGGTTTTAATATAAGACTCTGTTATGTGCCGTGCCCCTTTTCGGCCTCAAGATGGCCTCAGTGGCTTCTGTCTCGGTAGTCTCCCGGTGCCCAGCTGTCTTAAATCATGAATCACTGCACAGCTGTTAAAAGCTGCTCTCCTGCCCTCAGTTCTTCGAGAAGGTACAGGGTAGTATAGACTCTTCTGGAGTTTATGCTATCCTCTTCTCCTCGTTCGCTCTTTTGGTAACACTCGGTTCGCTCGTTAGATTGTGGTATACTCGCTCGTTTGGATTTTGGATTTGGATTTAGGATAGACTTTCGGTGACTTCGACTTTGGACTGGCCTTCGACTTCCCTTTTGGAATTCCCCAGAGCATCACTACTTAACAGGACGTCTCTAGTTAGCTTAGTGGTTTTGTTTATATATTGAATATCTCAAGTAGGTAGTTTTCTCCTCCCGGCCCTTTTGGCTTGGCGCTTTATGTTAACCTTCTCTCCTTTTTTTAAAGGCTCTTTTGTGTTTTTTGTAATAAAATCCTTTGTTTTAGCGACACAGCACATTGTTTATTATTTCACCCACACACCACTTTTATTACTCCCCTCCTCATCTCTCCTAGAGAGCCGGGGGCGCAATAGACTCAAAGTACTTTGTAGCATTCTGTAGTACTTTTATTTCCCTTTTTAAAGTGTTTTCAGACAGTCTGAGTGTTCAGAAGTACAACTCAATGTAAATTTCCCCATCTATAAATAATTAGCACGTGTCACGCTGAGGGTTGGAGGAGTAGGACCCAAATCGCAGATACCCAGAATGGCACGAGGCAGGAGAGGACGTAAAATTAAACATCTTTATTAAGAGGACGAGTCCAAATGAAAACCTAGAGAGGCACGAAAGCCAAAAAATCCTAGTAGGGTAGAGCCAAAGAAAACCTAGTGGGGCACGGAGCCAAAAACCTAGAGACCTAGAAGGAGGGGGGAACAAAACTACACCGACACAAACAATGGACCAACAACCACTCTGAGACTCAGACAGGGTGTGTACACAAGGGCTGGGTGATTAGGGAATTGTGCACAAGTGAGACCAATAAACAGAGGAGGAGCACAACGGTGGAGGGGAGGAAACCAGACCTAAAAATGGGGAAGGGAGCAAAATGAACTAGAGGGAGAAAACAGACTGGATAAAACACTTTACAAAAGACTAATGATAAAAGGTGTCTAAGGAAAAACGTAAGGGAAACCTAGAGAGCCTGGAGTGGGTTGGGGACACACAGGGATGCTGATACCTGGGGGGAACACCTAAGGGGATAAAACCTGGAGTGGGTTGAGGAACACAAGGAGGCACATGAGGAGGGATGCAGACAAGGAGACACATGATGAACACAAGACAGCAAGGGAAACCTAAAGAGGGATGGAGAACAAAAGGAGACACATGAGGGAGACGCAGGACGCAGACCATGACAAAGAGCAGATAGAGGTACTTAAGTTTATTTAGAAAAAGCATGTATTTGCATCTTTTTTGATGGAGTGGTGAGTATGTCGCAATGTTTGTTATCAAATAGCACGCAGAGAAGGTTTGAAAGATGACTGTAGATCCTGCCCCACCCACAACTGAGAGCTGTCGATAGAACATAGCCAGACTATTTATTCACATATATATGATGGCTTGCCAGACTAGTACCATGCAGCATTGTTAATCTTTTTTTTTCATGTATTGTGGAAAAATCAAACTTTTGAATTTGACAAAAATAAATAAAATCAGCATAGATCTGTTTTAAACATGCATATATTTTTTGTGTTTTATTGTTTATGTTTTAATTCATGAAATTATTGAAATATTTGTTTTTTTGGTTCTTAGGGTGGTATACTATGACATCAGCCACAAAGAATGAAGGACAGATGACCAACATGGAGCCAATAGCAAAAGGTTTTTCATAAAGTTTCCTCTTAATTAGGCTCTTGTCTTTGTCCAACAGAAAAGGACATTTAATGAGTGCAAGAGAAGGTGAGTCTTTGTCCCCTTCATCTGGCTGTACACTGAAGGTTATTTCAGTTTCATAATGATCACAAATAGAAAATCTGCTACCCTTCTAATTATGTGATCTTTCATACATCCCTTAGACAAATAACATTAAATTAAAAAGTGAAATCACCACTAGACTCCAGCTAAAATACTATTCCAGACAAACAATACACCTGAACACACAAACCACACCAACACAGAAAAAGAGGAAAGATGAAATAGCAAAAACAAAAGGCCATGGATATGAAGAGAGGATGTAATACAAATACAGGTATGTGGTAGGTGAGCGTGTGTGACAGAGGGAGCACATGACATTTGCATCTCTGGCTCTCCAGCAGCTTTGGTCTTGACTGTTTCTCATCTGTATGTGCATACTGAGTGAGCCCAGGTGATGCATATGGCACAGAGGTCACACCAGAAAGGGCAAATTCTCATATAAAGCCAACACAAATGCGCACGTGCATTCTGTCTCAAACGGTTACCATACAAGCACATCAGAACGAAGTGCTGCTAAAGCCCCCCCCACCCCCACTGTTGAGCAGGTGTACTTTTTTCAGTTATGCATCAAAATGCTCCCAGGAGAATAACTGGAGGCCGATTATATAAAAAAAAAAAAGACAATTGTTGTGACTTCTAAGGCGTGCTCCTAGTGTGGAGTATCTAGTTTTTATGTTTATTGACATGAAGGTGGCTGTGTTTTGAGCAAGTTTGCTTCTTCACCTGAAATATCCAGTCCTGTGTCCCTTTGGTAGTCTCTTGCAGCCAGAGGTTGTGTGCAGAATCAGTGAAAGCCACAGCACACACTCTGTTCTTCACCTGCACCTCCCTTTGATTCATCTGGCACAGAAAACAAAAGTAAACTTGGTTTAGTTTCAGCTCAGGCATGTTTATGACCTTGTAGTTGAGGGAGACATTGTTTTACAAAACATTTGGAATACAAAAAATAGGAAAAACATTTTGATAAATAAATTATGCATTAATTATTTTGATATGACTAACCACTGTTTCAGTGGAAACGTGCCTAATAAAAGTATTCCCAGCGCAGCTTGCTCTGTCAGCCCTCTTCTTAGAGCAAGATGGCAATGGCCCTGAGGACAGCTTTGTAATCGGAGAATACAGATTCAACCTGGTGTACAGCATAATTTTATAAAGTGAAATATAAAAGAGCACTGTTCCACTATAGTGTGTCCTTGTCACGTTCTGTGCAAATGTCCTTTTCTGTGCACATTCAAATACCTTGGTCCCCATTCTTAATACCCTTTCCCTTCAGATGTCACAAAGAAAGTGGTGTTCACAAGCCCGTCTTCCTATTCCCCTCTGAATGTCAATGCTAAGGAAAATGTCACACAAAGGACTTGTTACTACAATACAATAGACTTCCCACACCGCTGGTCCGACCCCAAGGAGTACTATAGCCAGACCCGGGGAACAAGTTGTTTCACTCTGCTTGGCTTTAAGATAAAATAGGAAAAAAGGAGAACAGGATCAGCAACAATAGGTTAACAATCACTTACTGTGTATGTTTAGTGAAGCTGGGGGAGAAACTGGAGGACCAGAGAGTGGAGTGGTGATGCAGGATGGGTTTAATCACTGAATGGTCACAACTATTTTAAAGCTTCGGCTACGGTGTTGTTAAAACAGGGCGCAGCGTTAAGTATCCTGGACAACTGGCGTTCTGTTGGGGCTTATGGGATTGTTGAAGCAGTGTTTGGAATAAACAAGTAGATTGTGGTTGGTTGTAAGTGGAACTATCAAACAAATCAAACCCCGGTTGGCAACATCCCTTCATGCTGAAGAAACAATGTGATCCTGAAAATCTGTACGCCATTCAGCTGTTACAACTTTAGCATCGACTTCCTTGTGAAAACAACAGACTGCATGAAGATTGCGATAAAATGTTGAACATTAAAATTAAACAGATGATCTAAAAAAAAGTGACAAGCTGCACATTACGCTCTTGCAAAACTGGGTCAAGGAGAGCAACAAACCCAGTGTTTTAAAACTAGTGGTGCCGGTCAAGGTCTTGTTTTCTGAAGCCAGCCAAATAAGACTATTGGTGAGTTAAGGGCCTTACTACCACTGATGCCGGTAACGCAGTACTCCTTTTCCCAGTAACGGCTAATCTAACGCATTACTATTTCCATATCAGTAATCAAATTAAAGTTACTTTTTCAAGACATTATGCATTCCTGATTACTAGGTTTGTGTAACCATTTTTACAGCAGCTACAGGAATAACTACTAACCTTCCACATTGCTGATTTTAATGTTGAAACAATGATTACAGCCAGTAGCAGCTGTTGAAAGTAACTTATAAAGTAACTACTAATCTAGCTTAGTTACTTTTGACAAGCAGTAGTCAGTAAAGTAACTTAGCTACGTTTGAATGTAGCAATCAGTAGTCAGAAATGACTATTTCAAGGTAACTGTGGCAACACTGCTCACTACCACATGAATGAAAAGAGCAAACACTGAAATTACTGTAGATTATTTTCTATAATTCCAGAGGGAAATAAAGTGTTGTAACTCACGTTAACTCATTCACTGCCAATGACAACTAAAGTCGTCATTTGCATTTTTTACTGTGTGTGCGTTGTAACAAGCCCCCGCACCGAGAACAAACATCCCAGCTCTAAAGCCGATCTTCATCTGCGTACGTCACATGTCACGTGACCAGGAAGCAGAAAATCCATGTGTTAGGAGATCGTTTTGGGTCGTTGCTGTAAAAAAAAAAGTGAGGCGCGAACCAGAAAAGCTTCTGCCAATTGCAGTTCAACAACGGATTATGAAAGAATGGATAACGCTCGAAAAGCGCAAATTCTTCCTGTTGTAAGAGGTGAGTCTCCTCTTTGTTTGGCATTGACATCCTCATAGAGTGCAATCTTCTGTGACTCTTCAAAAAATACTGTGAAAACGCTGAAAAATGATGGCAGTGAAGGGCTTTTCTGATCAGGAAATGGCAGGCAGTTGATTATAATGATCTCATGTTCAAAATCTTCAGAATCCTAATAACGCTGAAATTTTGATTACATATATTATGTTTTCTGGTTTCTAAGCAGATAAATCAATCTCTAAACAGTTTTACTGTTTGTGCTTAAAACAAAAACCTAAATCAACAGGACATTTTTGCTTTTCTCACTTTGACAGAAACACCCAAGTAAATGTTTATCAAATGTCCATTTTATTCAAAGCTATAATGTTTTTGCGAGTAGTGAAAAGTAGAGTCATAGATATGTTACTTTAATGACGGTTTCACTGTTCCACCATTCACCAAGTGTTTTCTACGTCTAGAATTGAGGTGTAAATCTTCCCTAGTCTCACGATTCGATTGAATTATGATTATCAAGTCAACGACTGAATTTGATTCGATATCTCGATGCATCGCAATTTGTTTTCATTGATGAACAGATGTCAGATATGTGCTTTTTTTATTCAAAATGTGTCAGACACAACATGCCATCCCCCAAAGGCTCTTCAATAAAACCAGTCCTTAGGACAATATAAAAGTGCAAAACAACATTTAAACATTTAACAAAGGGTTGTTTTTACTCATTTAACAATTGCATCTCAAAACTGCTGGAAAAACAAAATCTTAAAAAATACTGAAAACTTGTAGGACCAATTCTTGCCTTCAATTTTGTTTAAATAACCCATAATGGGTCCATTTATTTGCACACTCATGTCTTTGGAGCGGCTTCAGAATCAAATATTTATGCCACGGTTAAAAAACAAACTACTTTACACCATTATTGATTATCGATTCGATTCATATGCATTTATGTCCCCATCTCAATGTATTGATTATTAGATTATTTCCTCAGCTTTAGTCTAGAACCCGACGAAATGCTTTAGTCTAGAACCCGACGAAATCCACTCAATCTCTGATTTCTGCCTCCCAATTCTATTTGATTCAACTCTTTTTAGGGTTTTACATGTTTGGACTTTGAAACCAAACCAGAAGTGAACACCTCTTAAGAGTAAAAGTAGCTGATTAGCTGTTAGACGATGTCTGAATTAACAAACACACATTCAGAACTGAGAAACTTTACAGGTACCGGTGGCTTATCAAATAATAAAACGGTCTAATTTTATAAAGATTAACATAATAGTTGAGTTGGATCAGATTTCAGAGTTGTTAATGTTGTTATCAGAAGTTTCTTAGTAGTTTAATTAATATGTAAAGGGAATGATTTTAATCACATGCGAAAATGATATACACCAATGAAAAATAAAGTTAATGAAAGAGTTCAAGAAGTGCACATGCTGGAGAAAAACTGCAAAGCTGATAAGGTGGGACTGAAGCGTGGTCAAAAACACAGTTGGTAGTTGTAACGAACTAGTGGGGTAATAGCGTCACAAAAAATGACTCCAGGAGTGAATGCTCTCTGCGCTGCAGCCCTAAACGGCTGTAACACAGACCCCCACAGGGTCCCATGTTTTACAAGCCAACATGACAACTGTGATTAGCTGTGTGCTAAATGCATAATCCAACTTGAAGCGTAACTTATAAAAAGTTAGAACCATTAAGCTGCACACTCCTGCGGATACAACTCTCAGCTGTCCTATCAAATAACTCATTGTGTTAGCATGTATGTCAGTGTTAGCCTTGTAGTCTATAGCCAGGGGGTTAAATGTGCTAATTCCTTATGTAACCGTAGACAGCAGCTTTACCAAGAAAAGAAGCCAGCTGCTGGGGCCAATCCTGCACTGGACAGGGAACAAGGAGGGGAAACATGTGGAAACACTTGTTGAATTCAAACTGACACACAGATGTTAAGACATTTGTTGCTTTTCTCCTGGTCTTTCCTTTAATGCCGGAACAGCTGGGTGTGCTGAGTAAAAGTGAAGTAGATAGATGGGTATAGTAGGCCATGGCAATGTGAAGGTAATGGGAAGTTTGGGCAAATTCACCGGCAAGATGTGATAAAACATTTTGTTGATCAATCTCTTTTTTTATTTGGTTGAGATCATAATGTCAACATCTGAGTGGCATCTGTAAAACAAATGATTATTTACTGTTTCTAAACACAAGAACAAGATCCAACTTTCATGAAATTGAGCAAAAATGATCTCAGGATTCAAACATGCATCAGTTCTCTGACTAAAGCCATACTAAATGGTAACTACTATGCAACTTCTTCATATTTCTAAATCATTAATTTGATTTAGTCATGAACCGCTCCTGTAGAAACTAATGAAGGCTGGGGAGACATTTCAGCAGTTAGATTTAAGTATAACCACAGGGAATTAATAACAGACACTAGGGGTGCTAAAGCAAACAAAACTTCCTAATATCCCATTAAAATGTGGCTACCTAGTAAAGGAAAACCAACCCAAATGCATAAAAAAAATAAATGAAAGGCATCTTTGTTCACATACTGGCACAAACTTTACTACAACGTGACAATGTGTAATTTTACCATTATTCTCTGGAAATATCCATGAAAACATTGAATATGAGTAAAATTATATCCAGTCATTGAAAAATCTTGGCTGCTTCATAACATATAACCATGAAAATCAGGTCTAAAGTACATAGGGCGTAGATCTAGCATCTTTTGGGGATGCCACATTAGACACCATGTTTCCTTCTGACCGGCTCGGGTCCTGCGACTGTTGGTGACATCACACTAGATGCTTGGCTGACATACCGACTTACAGAAGTTACATTCCCTTGTTCGAAAACATCTAGGCAGTAAGACACATGAATTTAACACTAAAACTGCTAAACTCTCTCTAAAACCTATGTAAAAGCACAGGATTGAAAAAGAGATGCAATATACTTTAATCAAGCGGTCTAGCCGTAATATGATGTTGTTACTGGCAGGCTCAGGACCC